TTTTGAGCATACAACAAATACATACCGGTACATACATTTATTACAACACATGTACATAAATATTACATAAGGCCAAAAGAAAAAAATAGTCTTGTTTCCTGCTACCCAACTGACCCTATATTTTTTTTTATTTTGGCATTTGATCTTAAAGTTGTTTCTTTTTTTCAATGCAACTTTTTACAGTTTGCTTTTTATTTCAAAAAGACAAAAGATTTGCAAGTAAATGTCCACTATCATTTATAAAAAGGGTTATAATCTGTCATCCAAAGCAGAGAAAGTTTACATATTTCTGCATTTGAACAATTTAAGCAAAAAATGTTTTTCCATTTTTTGATCTGAGTCACTAAACACCACCTCGTGTGTTAGGCACAGATAAGTATGATTACTTTACATTTTCGCCAATTTTACCAATCCGGCCTTTATTATGTTCTGACATTAGAAATGTCTGGTTTTGTTCTTCTATTCTAGAAGTTACAGTCTGATCATAAAAAAGTTTTAAATTTTAGCTAAATAAAACTACTTTAGGAAGGTAAAAAAATCTATGTAGGTTATCGGTAATTGAAGCTAAATATATTATTGGTTGTACCAGACCTGTGCGTAAACAATCAAGCACCACAGTCATGACCGATATACTAGTCGTAAATATTCACCTTTATCTGACAGGGACACAGCAAACAAAAAATCTGTTCTGCAAAAATTTTACTACTTCTGACATACCAATTAACATCTGTACGCTCATGGTCTTTAATGTGTATATTGAAAACAACATCAGACACAGATTGATACCGGTGTAGTGTCCACGTGGTGCTGCAGTGGACACTGGACAAGGAGTAGTTTCACCAAAATTATGTTCATCGTCGGTTTCCATCTCACTTCTATTTTGATTCTCATGAAGATGCTTCAATTTCGAAAACCAGAAATGTTGAATATGTATGGCAAATTTGTATTTTAAATCGAGGAAATTTCTTGATTGCTTCGTCGGCCATCTTGTAGCATAGACAATAATGTGTAAATGGATACTTTTATTTGACGGCGTTGCGGAATTCCGGAAAAACAGCACGTGCAAATATGCGAATTCTTTCTATCACGTGATTGCTATCGGTCTCTACCTTAAGCTTCCGTTTAAACAAAAAGTATACGGGATTGTTAAAAGCCCTATAACATCCATTTATTATGCTGAAACTGTTCCCACTTTTTAAAAATATTCTTCTATAGGATGTCATTGAATTTGTGGTACAATGTAGTTGAGATATATAAGCATTATATGTATTTACACCCTTCTAGAATATACACAGTGTATGCGAAGTAATAGTTAGTTCCTCTTTATCATTACTATATCCACAAGACTTTTGTATTCCCTTAAAATCCACACGTTACAATTTTAATTGAAATAGATTTCAAAAATATAATTGTATTTGTGTGAAAACATAAAGTAATTTATAGCATCTCGATAACTGTTAAAACATTTTCCAATTTTTTCAGGAATATCAAAATTTTCCCATTATGGTTTTGTACTCTATCTTCATATTGATCACGTGATATTTGTTTACTGAACCAATGTAGCCATTGTTTTAATGTGCAGAATTTTTTTTGGATTTGTATGATACTTTCCTTGCTTTCGTGTCTAAAATTCTTATGCAAGACAATTGCTAGCGTTTGACGGTGCATCTTCAGTACATTCTCCTTAATTTTCTTTAATGGAAAGAACATTGTTTTTAGAAGTTGTGGCTGCGTACAAAGGATTACGTAACTCGCCCTCATCGTGGTTATGAAACTGATAGTGTTAGGACATTCATTTGTCAGTAGATTGGAAGAATTTGTAAGTAAATCTACGGATAATCGTGTGACAAAAAAATTGAACTTAAGTTTGGAGACCGTTCACGTTTCATTTGTGGGATTTAGAGGAGCGTCATTGTCAGAGATTAGGGCGCAATGTCTGCGTTACGTAAGACTGATTCATCCAGATGTGGTGGTATTGCAAGCCGTATTAAATGACCTCTGTGATCCTACGAAATCAGTATCAGATGTCTTCAAACAATTGATTTACTATATTATATCCCTTCGTTATGCAGAATCAGTGAAACATGTTGTAGTTCTACAAACTTTACATAGAAGACCCCCACTTACCGCATACGCTATGAAGTGGATACTAATTGGTTCAATGGCAGAGTGGATGAACTTAATCTGAGATTATCATCCTATTTCTGCAATTGGATGTCTCAATTTTTTCCGTTTATGAGGTTTCTTGTCCCCTGCAAGTCAGGACATGGTGTTTTCTAATGATGGTGTTCACTTGAATTCGCAAGGAATGAAAAAATATTATAATAATTTGCGAGCAGCAATAGTTTCTCTAAATCACGTGATCAATATGAAGATAGAGTACAAAAGCATAATGGGAAAATTTTGTTATTCCGGAAAAAAATGGAATTTTTTTTAACAGTTATTGACATGCTATAAATTACTTTATGTTTCACAAAAATATAATTATACCATCTTCTTCTAATATAATAGATTATACCTTTTTAGCCAGGAGTCTATTATGCTCTGTTTTTTGCCAAACGGATAATATAACACATAGTTTTTCGATAAAGAGCATTTAGGGTGAATTCACTATGCTTCGGATACCCTTGTACTTCAACAAGTTCTAGCGATATCGCTACCGACGGAAAATTATCAAAATGGAATTTAACATTTAGTTTGTGATTAAAATATCAATTTGGGACACAATTATATGCCCTTTATTGAGAAAATATCCACAAAAATAGAGTTTTTAGGAATAACTCAAAATTCACTATGGATCGGACATTGTTTACCATGCATCGGACAGACGGTATTTTGACCGGGAAATTATCATATCTTTATCAAAGTGCTTTAAAATGCTTGATATAGATATATTTTTATGTTTTATCTAAGAACGATATCGTTGCACAGATGTTGAACGATTCAAGAGACCTAACTCTGCCTTAGTAATGCTTTCAAATGCTTATACATGTATGCGGTAATTCGCGCCCTTTTTTCATGGTTTATCATACCATGGTTTGTAGAAATAAATTGAGTCAAATTCCAGAAGTCATATATCGATAACTTGTATTTTGACTGAAAATATAGAATTTTTATTTTCTTTTTCTGCAAAAAACAGCTATCAGCTGGGTTCTGTATGAAAATGGTAGTGCTTACCTTTGCATCGGAAAGTGTCCGATGTATAGTTAATTTGTGTCCGATGTACGGAGAAATGAACATACTAGTGAAAACCAGCTCTAAAAAGAATTATACGAACATTGAAGTGAAATTTCTTTAAAATTTATGTAAAATTACTAATCTTTCACTTTATTCACCAAAGTCTGACTCGTTCCGTTGAATTCAAATTTTAAGAACGATAACTCTAAAAATTGCATAATCATAAATTTCTGGTTATTCCCCTTTGATGATGTAAAAACTTCAAGCCATTCTCGTAGTATTTTTATCACAACATGATAATAACAATCGGTATCATTAAAAAATTTTAATCTTCAGCTTTAAGACAAAAACAAATAAATACACGGAACTCTTAAGTTGAAAGAGAATTTATTGTCTAAAGTTGTCGGATGCAAGGTACGTGTCCGATGCATGGTGAATTCACCCTATTATTGAAAATGCCAAAAAATGTTTCACATCTTAAAGTACATATGATACACGTAAAAATCATAAGCACAAGGGAGACAGTAAATCTCATGTAAAAAATATCTCATTACATGTATACAAAGATAAATGTGTCACAATCAATATTGAATTATAATTGTATTTACATAACGGTTATGGTTTTTATTTTATTTACCCTTTACTGGACCTCTTCTTATTGTTACCTTTATTGAACCTCAAGTTAAGTTTTGCAGGCATTGGTCAGTTACGAAATAGAGGGTATTTAAATCGCTGCATAGCTGACCAAGTAGCCGGGGTCCACGTTTTCATAGATTTTTACATGCCATGCTTGAGGTACTACAAGATGTGTAGATAAGTAGGTTTGCAACGGTAACCATTTCTCCATAAGGGGTAAGTTTGTTTTTTTTATTTTATATATAAGTTTTGAGAAATACATTTAAGACGTAAAGCTATGTACGAATTTGAGTTAAGTAATGTTTTTGTCACCGTATACAGGTTTTGCTGGGTAGAGTTACTCATGCGTGTATAGTTCTATTTTTGTGCAATGTTCTAAGTTATGTACGCACGTAGACTATTTTGTTTTGCCGCTTATAAGTCGGTGTTGTGGGTTTAATAGTTAAAACCACTTTTGTTGAGATGTTGTGTATTCTTATTATAATAGTGTTCGGTTAGAATTACCGGTACTGTTTTGTATGGTGTGCCGTAAGTGCAACTGTAGTCAACGTTGACGTGTTATTTTTAGTATACCTAACTTGCGACTTAAAATATTATTTAATTTAAAGGTTCCAGAGATATTCCAGAGATATTCCAGACATATTCCAGCCATATTCTATCTAACACAAAGGGCCATTTTGTGTGGACACATGGTACCAGCGTTACTGGACCGGAAACCCAATGGGAGCCAGTTGGCGGGAGTCCATCGTAAAACAGGGAGTGTCAGGACGCGGTCGCGTGGTACACTGGAATGGATATGGATATATAAGGACTTTAAGTGATATTTATTTTAGAAAATTTTTGTAAAATATGTTGTAAATATTGTTTTTATTGATTTTATTTATAGATAAAAAATTGTAAATAGGAAAAAAAATCTTGTTGTTGTCTGACTGAACAGAGCACGACGGCTGTCGTGACAAAATGTACCTAGGATATACACAGTACAAATACTGACATTAAAATAAGAAATGTATTGCCCATTGGACTAGTTATGGCAAAAAAGATGGGACTAATTCTTATAAAAAAAAACGCCATGAACTTGTTGTCAATTGGTTTTCTATAAGAATTAGTCCCATCTTTTTTGCCATAACTAGTCCAATTGGCAATACATTTGTTATTTTATCAAAAAACAGAACAGAATAGACTCATGGCTTAAAAGGTATATCTATTATATTAGAAGATTATGGTATAAGATCAAAATAAAGATTCTACAAAGAACAAATGAGTGCTTGGACACATATAATATTCATAATAATGAATGATGATTACAAAGAAACACATTGTCTTGATTCAGTAGCACTCTCCCAGGTTACCCCACGTGCAGAATCCCGTCTCGTTTCTCCGGCAGAAGGCACTATTTCTGCAGTAATTGTCGGGGACATTACATTCGTCCTGAGAAGGCGGGGGGAGTTCAAGTGACATCCCAGACAAAATTTTGGGATAGTTCCATTTTATCTGCAAAAAAAAACAATGCATGCAATAATCGCATCACTTTTAAAGTTTATATTATGTTTCTAAAGGATTGAATGATTTTTGTATTTCTTTTTTTCTTATAAATTGTTAATGTAACATCTTTCTTATTCATTTTTAATTCATGGAAATCTTTTTAACACATGTTTAAGACATTTCAGCAAAACCAAATGGTATATTAAGTACTGTTTTTAACCATTTCGAGCTACAAGCCTTTTGAACATATATAAAATTTGACAATGATAAGAGCTGATGTAAAAAGCTGGAAATTTTAAACAAAAAGCACACAAAATTATTTTTAAATACTGGTTCATGAAAATTACCTCGCAACCACAGTCATACTTTGTTCTCATTCTCTCTATATCACTGGGTTTAACGTTTTCCATGCTTCTGTAATCGACGATATTGAGCTCTCCATTGTCGCCTACACCAGCTATAAAATACATGTAGATTGCTAGATTACTGTAAAATCGCATATTTTCGTGGGTTCAAATTTGCGAGGTTGGGGTAAAATATTGGTTTTTGGGATTTTAATAAGTAGTCGAAAAATGTGTAGTAGTAATACATATAAAATTTACATTTCCTGGGGTAATATATCCGTGGGCATTTCCATACATCGAAAACAATGAAATTTAAATCCCCATGAAAATTAGTGATTTCACAGTATTCACTGTGTTGAAGATCAAACTGTTTAGTTAGATAATTGACATTATAATTATTCATAACACAGTTAGATTACCAGCAATTTTCTTTTCATTGATAATGATGTTACTATTTGTAGTTTTTAATTATATTTGTCTATGTTGTAAAATTAGAAAAAAAAATATACCTTACAATGTCTAAGAGTTATATTAAATCTGTCAGATATTTCTTTTTTTTCTTTTAAAAATGAATACGGTAAGACTCACCACTCTAATAAATAACTTTTTATTTATGATACACCTAAGATTCTTCTCTTTGTTAGAAATGTAATTACCATAAATAAGGGGAGACTTCCAGATCTAATAAATTAATTATAACAGACGTAATTTTTTTTTCTACATACTAGTAAGTAGTTTCTGTTAATTAAGTAAGCTTCCTGATTTAATAATTAACATTAGCTACTTAATACAGATTTTAGGTATTTTTCTTTGCGGTACCTTGATAGTCTGTTAAAGGAGACAACTCTTAGTGGCACAAATGCCTATTATTCCTTTATAAAGATTTGTCAAGTTTAAGTGCTCTTTTTGTCAAATTTTGCCCCGCAAACCATGCTATAATTGTTTGTATTCAATTCAGCATAGAAATATCCTTTGGAAAATCATAAAAATTAAAGAAAAATTTCATATGAGTGATCAGAGGGTTTATAAATCTTAATAGTTAATATCATAAATAAGATAAAACTCTCCGATCTAATAAATTTCCTACTTATTACATACTTTACATTTTTCTTTATGAGTGCTTACCGTAAATTAAGTATGCCTCTCCGATATTTAGCTTTTGTGGTCCACAGGACCACGATGGCCCCTCTCCAATAATTGTGTCAAAATGACCCAGCGCTCTATTTGTGTTCTACAGAGCATAAACAGTGATACATTTGTTTATATTAACTTTAATATTTATTTTAATATAAATTAACTACTGTAGAATCATCATTGTTCGTGGGGGACCAATGTTCGTGGATTTCGTGGGTCACCCATACCCACGAATTTACATTCCAACAAACAAATTTTGTTAACATATTAATTCAATGTACTATCGTATTCACAAGTAACCCACGATATTACTTCCCCAGGAACAGGTCAAATTTTTCTTACCAACGATCTTTGACCCCCACGAATTAAAATGATTCCACAGTAATGAGATTTTTTTTTTAAATTTTCATGGAACAGATTTATTTGTGTTCTACAGAACATAAACAGAGATCTATTTTTTATATTGATTTTAATTTTTATATATTTTTATATACATTAACTAATGAGAATTGTTTTTTTAAATATTCATGAAACCATTTTCGTTAAATTTCCATGAGGAGAAAAAACAGCTTTATCTAACAACTCCCCGGAATATCCACATCAGTGTTACCTAACTCACAAAAAACATATATTTAATAAACATTGAAGAATTATAAAGAAAACAAACAGCAATCGACCTTAAAGTTACTCTGAAACAATAAAAAAAATTGCTGCAAATTAAGTTCGATTGAGTATCAGACACCACTGGGTATCCCCTTTCTATTTTCAATGATCAGCTTTCAGGTAATGTTAAACATTAGATATTTCCAGATGTTTACCTTCTATTATATGGATATCTGGTTTATGGATTGTAGAATATTTACGTGCAGTGTACCTTATAATATACTATTATGTGGATTGTATGAACATTAACATACCTAGTAATCCTCTGGTTTGTAAAATGAAGGACATTTACTCACTTTCTTGGTCTCTAGAATTTTGACATTTATCTTCGGATAGGATGCGAATTAAAAAATCTTGTACAAACCTAGGATGTCGATTGTGTATATAGCGTATTGTATAAACATTGTAATCCTCTAGGATGTTGATTGTATATATAGCGTATTGTACCAACCTTGTAATCCTCTAGGATGTCAATTGTGTATATATAATCAGCGTTTTCATACACTTGTTCCACTGACTTAACTGTGGCATTAAATGCTGTAAGAGAGGAAAAATTGTTTTAAAAAATGCTTTTCCCAAGTTCAGTTATTGTAATACATGGCTGTATTGTATGCCCCTTTAGCAAAAAAATTAGGGACACACATTCGGCTCTTACGTTGACTTTGGCTTTCTCACTCAGTTCTTACATTGACCTTGACTTTCTCATTCAGTTCTAACATCGACCTTGGCTTTATCACTCACTTTTTACGACGACCTTGGCTTTCGCAATTAGTTCTTACGTTAAACTTGACTTTCTTATTCAGTTCTTATGTTGACCAAGGCTTTCTCACTCAGTTCTTACCTTGACCTTGGCTTTTTCACTCGGTTTTTACGAGGACCTTGACTTTCTTTCTCGGTCTTTTCATTGACCTTGACTTTCTCACTTAGTTCTTACACTGACGTTGGCTTTCTCAATCTTGGCGCCCTGTAGGGATCCGGGGTAGAATAGGTCCTCAGTACCCCCTTACTTGTCGTAAAAGGCGACTAAATGGGGCAGTCCTTCGGATGAGACCGTATAAACCGAGGCCCCGTGCCACAGCAGGTGTGGCACGCTAAAGATCCCTCCTTGCTCAAAGGCCGTAAGTGCCGAGCATAGGCCTAGATTTGCAGCCCTTCACCGGTAATGGTGCCGTCTCCATATCAGTAAAATATTCTGGAGAGGGACGTTAAACAGTATATACAATCAAACAATCAATCTCAATACTAGCTTTCTCTAACTATCAAATTCTACAGTTAACTATAGTTTATTATAATTTTCTTAAATTTAAATATAGGTTACTAAAGTTAATCAAAGTTTTTAAGTTATCACTACAGTAAATCAAAGTTTTCAAAGTGATCACTGTAGTGTCAAAGTGTTCACAATAGTTAAACAAAGTTTTTAAAGTAATCACTATATTTAATCAAAGATTTTACAGTAGTAAATTAAAGTTATCATAGTGATCACTATGGTATGTCAAAGTTTTTATAATTATCACTTTAGTAAATCAAAGTGTCAAAGTAATCACTATAGTAAATTAAAGTGTCAAAATTATCACCATAGGAAATCAAAGTTTTCATAGTGTCAAAGTTATCACTATATACATGTAGTAGTTATCAAGGTAAACTATATTAAATTTTAGTATTTCTGTTAGAGTAACGACAACCTTAGCTTTCTCATTTGCTTCTAATTACCATGGCCTTGGCTTTACCACTCATTTCTGTCAAAGACCTTTGCTCCAAACAACCCCAAATAAATAAATAAATATATATATATATATATATATATATATATATATATATATATATATATATATATATATATATATATATATATATATATATATATATATATATATATATATATATATATATATATATATATTTATACGAAATTAAAAAAAGAATATTATAAATATAAAATAAATTTCCATCTAAATTATAACATACCATATTTTGCAAAGCAGAAATTTTCCTGGTCTACTTCTGGAACCCAACTGCAACCAAGGGCAACAGAAACGATAACCCCGATGACAAAGACTTTGACCAACTGAAACGCCATTTTGAATGGTGGCCGTTAGAAAATTGAAGCGACGTGCAATTTACTTTAGGCATTTATACAAAATTCATACATCCCACTGGCGGTATTCTGAATTAATGTTGTTGTGAATTATCATTCATCACTTATACGGCGAAAATACTCTATTTTACAAGATTATTTATAAATATTTTTTGATAAAAAAATTCGTGGAATATAATGTTGAAACAGATGTTGAAGTGTTCCTTGTGGGTTCGTAGTACTCGTGATTTTCACTACTGCACGCTGTAACACGACTCTTGTGATATAATTATTTAAAAACAAAATTGTATGTTTAATTGTGTAAAAAAATATTTTCTATATAATAATCATATTCTAGTACAATTTGGTGATAACTGTTGATGATAATCTTCCTTTATGTAAAGTTAAAGTGCATGTGACATTACGTAAATACTCCTATTATGACGTCATCACATTTATGACGTAATGTAACGTCAATGTAATACAAAGTTTAAATAATCAGTCTAGATAAACAAGTCAACGTGATTAGAGGTGTTTGTCGTGCTATCTGACTCAACATTTGGTGCTGTGACCATAGGGAAAGTACATACCGTATAATAGCAAACTTGAAATGGATGTGATCATGTTAAAGGCGCAACGTTCAGGCCATCGTGGAGTTATAACTAATATTTTGAGGAGAATTTCTGAGAATGAAGACGAAAATCGAAAAGCTTAAATGATCAAGATACTACTAGAGGAAAAACTGGATACATTAGAGAAAATCAACAATGAGAATTTACCAGAATTAGAGAAAGAAGAAGAGATTCAAACTGAAATTGAAGATTGAAGATGCAGATGAGTACATGTTAGATAAAAGACTAAAAGTAGAGAATCGACAAAGAATATTTCATCTTAGAAGGCTTCTGAAAATTTCATTCAATCTACATTCAAGAAATTAAATGTAAATGCACCACAGTTCATTCCAAGCAATGACTCATTTGAACCCAGCATACTAGGAAAACCTAAGACCTCATAGTCATAAAACTTTGGCGAAAACTTTGACACTTTGGAAAACTTTGGTGAAAACTTTGAGACTCTGGAAAACTTTATCGAAAACTTGGATACTTTGAAAAATTTTATGTAAAACTTGGACACTTTGAAAAAACTTTATGGAAAACTTGGACACTTTGAAAAACTTTATCGAAAACTTTGATACTTTGGAAAAACTTTATGGAAAACTTGGACACTTTGAAAATCTTTATCGAAAAACTTGACACTTTGAAAAAGTTTATAGAAATTTTCGACGCTTTGAATAACTTTATCGAAAACTTAGACACTTTGAAAAACTTTATCGAAAACTTTGATACTTTGAAAAACTTTGGCGAAAACTTTGACACTTTGAAAAACTTTGGTGAAAACTTTGACACTATAAAAATCTTTAGCGAAAACGTTCACACTTTGTAAAAATTTGGCGAAAACTTTGACATTTTGAAAAACTTTGGCGAAAATTTTGATGCTTTGAAAAACTTTGCCGAAAATTTTGACGCTTTGAAAAACTTTGGCGAAAATTTTGACACTTTGAAAAACTTTGGCGAAAACTTTGATACTTTGAAAAACTTTGGCAAAAATGTTGACACTTTATTTTACTATAGTTAACTATAGTTAACTATAGTAAACTATAGTTAAGTATAGTTTTTTTTTGTTAGGGAAGGAGATGACCAATGAGAACTGAATTTACCGAGGAGAGCCATTAATAAAGGAGCTATGTGTTCAAGATTCCGAACAGGCAATGCAATCAAAACAGGAAACACATTCATTCATTCCAACAGCTAACTTTGTTGCTGGGTCAAGTCATAAAAGGAGTGACAAGCTGGAAAATTATGTGAAGCAATGTTTGTTCTTCAAAGGAAATCATTCACCAATAAATTGCCGTAATGTCCAAGACTATGATAAGAGAATATCAATCATCAAACAGAAAATCTGCTTCAATTGCTTGGTAAATCACAAAATAAGTGAATGTCAATCAAATTTCAAATGCAGGAATTGTAGGAAGTCTCATCATACAAGTATCTGCAAAAATTCGCAATTACCTAGAAGTTCCCCAGACAGAGCTGTCACAAAGCTAGAGAACATAGAATCGAATCAACCACGTCAATGAGAGCAGTCATTTCAGCTTCACTCTTCAACACAGGTGACAGCCAACACTGAAGTGTTACTGAAAACTGCTGTGACACTGATTTGGTATTGAAATCAAGAAATCAGCTTTAATATATTGCTTGATGAAAGGGCTAAAAATACATTTATTTCTGAGGAGCTGGCACAGAAACTTGATACTACATCAAATGGATCCGTTACCTTACGAATTTCAGCATCTCGTAATAGTGAAGAATAGTGAAATTCGTCATCTTGAGAAAGCAACGGTGCAGCTAGAAACACAAAATGGAGACAAAATTCCAGTGGAGATCATCATTATTCCAAAGATTGTAGCTCCAATTTTGTAGCTCAAAAGAACAATTAATATTTTGCAAAATTAATATTTCTCTTTGAAATTGTTTGTGTAAAAATATCATACCACATTCCTTTTAAAAAGTTTAAAATAATTTTCGATAAAATGTTTATTAAAAATTTATACGAAGATTTAGATTTGGTCTTAAGTCGTAAGTCCTTTTGTAAAACGGGCCCCAGGAACTCGCATACATTGGAAGATTAAAATTGGCACACCTGGTTAGCACACAGGAACAGTTTCATATTTCAATGTTCATTGGTGCGGACTACTATTGGAACATAGTAGGGGACAAAATCATCAGAGGAAATGGACCCACTGCAGTCGAATCAAAGGTTGGATATCTAAAATCTGGACCTATCCACTCATCAGAGAAACAATAATCAGTAAAGTATTTCATATTTGGCTAAACATAAAACAGAGATTTACCTTGAAAAATTCTGAAAAATAGAATCCATGGGAATTGATGATCAGAGTGAAGAGTTTGAGAGACAAGGAAAAACTTCTGAATTATGCTGCTACATTAAAAGATAAAGAGGATGGCCATTATGTTGCTAAAATTCCTTGGGAAAAAACTCTTCTTGCTTACATACAAATTATGAGACTGTAAAAATAAGAACAGAAAATGTTATTCAAGGACTGGCAAGGGGTCCGAACTGTTAAAATTGTACGGCGAGATAATCCAACATCAAGAAAAGAACGGTTTATTGAGAAAGTTGAAGATGCAGAAAAGTCGGAAAATAGAGTCCATTATACATGTTGTATCCCATAACACCCTATGAAAAAAGGCAGCACTACAACTCCGATTAGAATTGTGTATGACTGCAGCTGCAAGGACAAAACTGGAAATGTTAGTCTAAATGATTGCATTGAGCCATATTCTCCAATGATGAATGACATCACATCAATACTGACCAGATTCAGATTACAGAAGTTTGCAGTAACAGCAGATATTGAAAAGGCCTTCCTTCAAATTGAACTAAACCAGAAAGATCGTGATGCAACACGATTTCTTTGGTTTAGTGATTCCAATGATCCATCGAGTCCATTAACGACTTTTCGCTTTTGATCCGTCCTGTTTTGAGCAACTTGTTCACCTTTTATCCTCAACCCTCTTCTGATGGAACATTTTCAAGAGAATACCAATGAAATTTAATCTCTCTTTGAAAAAATCTATCTGTTGACAATGTTCTGGCCAGCTTTCAGAGTGAGGAAACGGCCATGAAATTCCTACAAAGAATCAGGAACCTTCCCTTGAGGTTTCAATCTCCGTTCATGGAGCTCAAACAGTGAGATGCTACAAAAAGCTAACTCGAGCAGAAAAAAAAACAGCAGATGAAGACCTTGTCAATAAAGTTCTTTGAATGAAAAGGAATCCAAAAGAAGATACTCTTAAATATGTAAAAAATGATATAAGACAAAGGAAGGATCTTACAGCCACAAAGCGTGAAAAATTGACAGAATCATCAAAGGTTTTTTATCCACGTGGATTATTAAGCCTTATTTCTGTAAAGGCAAAGATTCTCATGCACGAAATAAGAAAAACTCATTTGAAGTGGGATGAAAAACTACCGAAGTCCATGCAGTCTACATGGAGATATATATCGTCAGAAATTTGAAGCATTAGATATTAAAATAAACAGAAATAACAGCCCTTGAATGGATTGTAGGAGTGATTCATTGCATTTCTTTCTGATGCAAGTCAACAAGCATATGTTGCATGTGTTTATATTACTTGTTATCAAAGGACAGGATTACACTACTTATGGCAAAAAATCGAGTGACACCAATCAAGCAGATAACACTTCCAAGACTAGAACTCATATAGGAGCACTAATTGGAGCAAGATTGGGAAACCATATGAAGGAAATAACAGGAGTTAACAGGAGTTAACAAAACCAACTTTTGGTGTGACAGTAAAACTGTGCTTCACTGTATCAAGTCACAGAAATAGCCAAACAGATTTATAGGAAACAGAGTAAATGGAATTGGGGAGAGATCAGCGGAGACCCAGCATGACAGTATTGTCCAACATACTGTAATCCTGCTGACTATCTTACTCGTGGAAATATCCTCAAAAAATTCAAAGCGGACACTCTCTGGTGGTATGCATGGTTCAGCATGGTTAGCTGAACACAAGAAATAGTCTGTAGGAGGGGGGGGGGGGTACAACAACTGCAATAGTATGTTCCATAAGCGCTGAAGAAGAGAGTAGAATTGATCATCAAGCAGAGAATCAAGTTACAGCGGATACCACAACTGAAAGTTTACAGTCGGTACTGAAACATGAGGATAAAAGAAAAGTTCACTCATGATGTTGGTTAGAGCTGTTGCATACGTCAGAAGATTTATTCACAACTGCAGATATCCTAGTGAAAGGAGAACAGGATTTCTAAGTAAACAACAATTAGCTGAAGCCAAGCAACTGCCCCACAAGATGTACAGAAAACCAAGTTTTCTAAGGAAACAAAATTTCTATATCTTCCTCCAATAGATTTAAAAACTGACATATCTTATAGTTGATGCTCATGACAGTT